GGGTTTGTATTTCTGCTGTCCAAATTACCAGACAATTTTGTATTGTCTTATAGCAATTAGTGTGTGGTGACGTATCACAAAGCCAATAGAAGCTAATCTATTCACATTCTGCTCAGGCTCTGATACTTTCTACCCAAAGTTTCCCCTGTGCATATACGTTCTTCATACTGCACTCAGCAGCTGATTTCCATGGTATCCAACTGTGGCTGCTTATTCTGATGTACCTAGTTGATTTAGAATTATAAAATAGGAAGGGATGAAAAAATAGAATGAAGGAAAGAGAAAGTGGAGAAAGACTGTAATATATAGGTTCCAGTCATACAGGTACCAACGATCCGCTAGTGAAGGTATACCAGATGTTTTTGAGAGATGCTGTGAAGAAAGGGGCTTGATACTACACTTGTGTTCTCACTCCAGGCCGATGTTGCCTCTGTTGTTGTCTCTGATAACATAGGACAAGAATAATTGCTACCCTCACCTCCCTTATTCTAAAATATAGTCAATCTCTTCTATGAATCCGACAACACCCCTGAAACTAAATGTGAACACTAAAAAAAAAAAAAAAAAAAAGGATAATGAAATGCAGAGAATTATTGACAACTACTGAATAGTCCAGTGTCAACTCAAAGTCTACTGGAGGGTATTCCCTGCCTCATTCTCTACAACCATCTCACCACATAATACAGTTATGACTCTCCAAGTCTCAGAGTCTGGGTCCAAATGATACCACTTTCACTCATAGAAAAGAAAAAGGTGTTAATCTAGCCCCAGACTGGCACTCCTAATGCTTCACTTTTACTGTATGATTAATCACTTCTCAAAATGAAAAGCTTTGAGAAATCCTAACCCCTTCTCCATAGATATTATCTCCATCTGTGGTCCAAATTAAACCATCCCCCAGGGACTTTACATGTGCAGTTACTTTAAAGTGCTCATCGATCACTTAATGCCTAATCACCAGCATTTCGTGTCAGTCACAGACATGCCAACATTAGCCTAATTTTTTTCACTCTTGTCTCATCCAAGATTGTAAAAGTTTGCAATCAGGTTGCATCCACTGTTGCTTAGTTACCCAATAATGATTACAATAACCACTGATTATTGCCAAGGACCAAAATGACCCCTTGACACAAACTGTTTCGAACCGTTGTGGGAAGGCAAAGTAAAAACACTAAAAAGAAAGCTGATAACTAACCTCCTGTGTCCCTTGACATTCTTAATCTTATCACCACTGTGTGTCTGAAGCCCGCAAAAATAATCTCATTATATATAATATATATATATATATATATATATATATATATATATATATTTGTATACATACATACATATACATATATATAAACATCATTCTTGTTCATGTAAGTGGTCCTAAGCCCAAGTTCATAACACATCCATATGTACACTATAAGACCATCTTATGCCAATCAGAGGATCTTCTAGAATTCACAACATATCAAAGTCATTACAGCCTGTGCTTTATTATACTTAAAAGGCACACCAATTCTCCATGCTTCATCCTCCTCCTGTGGTGATTGCTGTCCCCTCCTCCCTTTTTTGGGCCTGCCCTGCAAGTCTGCTGTTTCTTCTTTCATGCCAGAAGAATCTTCACTCCAAAGCCTTTCCGAGGATATTGGTTTTGTCCGAAATCTAAATGGGTATTATCCTTGCAAATTCTTTCTCAAATGGTTTTTCTTTCATTAGGAAACTGTAACCTACTTCTCTTTAAACCTCTGTACTACTGACTTCATCTTACTCAAAGTCTTCTCCATCCTGCTTTCTTTGTTTTTCCATAATAACAAGCATTTTTTTTAATTCTTTATTAATTACACTTTATTCACTTTGTATCCCCTGTGGTTCCCTCCCTCCTCCCATCCCAATCCCTCCCTTCCTCCACCCTCTGCATGCATGCCCCTCCCCAAGTCCACTGATAGGGGAGGTCTTCTTTTCCTTCCTTCTGATCTGAGTCATTTAGGTCTCATCAGGAGTGGCTGCATTGTCTTCTTCTGTGGCCTGGTAATGCTGCTTCCCCCTCAGGGGGAGGTAATTAAAGAGCAGGTCAATCAGTTCATGTCAGAGACAGTCCCTGTTCCTATTACAATGGAACCCGCTTGGATACAGAACTGCCATGGGCTACATCTGTGCAGGGGTCTTAGGTTATCTCCATGCATAGTTCTTGGTTGGAGTATCAGTCTCAGGAAAGACCCCTGTGCTCAGATTTTTTGGTTCTGTTGTTCTCCTTGTGGAGTTCCTGTCCTCTCTAGATCTTACTGTTTCCCACTTCTTTCCTAAGTTGTTCAACGTCCTTAGTCATAAGGGAAATGCAAATCAAAACGACCCTAAGATTTTACCTGATACCCATCATAATGGCTAAGATCAAAAACTCAAGTGACAACACATGCTGGAGAGGTTGTGGAGAAAGGAGAACCCTCCTTCACTGCTGGTGAAATATAAACTTGTACAATCACTCTGGAAAGCAATCTGGCGCTTCCTCAGACAACTAGGAATAGCACTTCCTCAAGATCCAGCTATACCATTCCTAGGCATATACCCAAAAGAGACTCAAATACACAATAAGGACATTTGCTCAACCATGTTTGTAGCAACCATATTTGTAATAGCCAGAAGCTGGAAACATCCCAGATGCCCCTCAGTGGAGGAATGGATACAGAAATTGTGGTACATCTACACAGTGGAATATTACTCAGCAATAAAAAAAAACAAGAAAATCATGAAATTTGCAGGTAAATGGTGGGATCTGGAAAAGATCATCCTGAGTGAGCTATCCCAGAAGCAAAAAGACTCACATGGTATATACTCACTCAGATAGACATATAACATAGGATAAACCTACTAAAATCTGTACACCTAAAGAAACTAATCAAGAAGGAGGACTCTTGCTAAAATGCTCAATTCCTATCCAGAAAGGCAAAGAGGATGGACATCAGAAGAAGGAGAAAAGAGGGAACAAGTCAGGAACCTGACACAGAGGACCTCTGAGAGGCTCTGCCCTGCAGACTATCAATGTAGATACTGAGACTTATGGGCAACCTTTGGGCAGAGTGCAGGGAATCTTAGGAAAGAAGTGGGAATAACAAGCATTTTTAAAAGACCATGAAACTTGAGTGCATATAATATATTGTATTCATTCATATCTGTGTCCTAGTTGTGCAAATTCTCCAAGTTCAGGGATGCCTGTGTGTTTTTTAGCCAACTAAAATATCTCAACTATCTAAGGCACTTTATCAGGTACAACAATAAATACATTTGAGTGAAAGAATGAATTTGCACAAATATTGTGAGGAAGACCTTCATTTAGTTATTCCCCCTTTTCAAATAAATGAATGGAAAATTAGGGAATATAAAGATGTTATGAAAGGTCATGCTGCTTAGAGTGGTATAATCTTGGTTCCAGTCCCTAGAGCTAATGCTCAGTCTTTCACACTGTGTCTATTAGTTTGTCAACTTTTCACAAGCTAGAGAAAATTTCTCCATCACTTTACCTGGAAGTAAGTCTGTAGGGCATTTTCTTGATTAGTGACTGATGTGGGCGAGCCCAGGCCACAGCCCACAGTGGGCCAATGCCACTGTAGGGCAGGTGGTCGCAGATTGTGTAAGAAATCAGGCTGACCGATACAATCTGATAGGCCTGCTCTTTGATCACCTCCCCCTGAGTGGGGAGCAGCCTTACCAGGCCACAAAAGATGACAAAGCAGCCACTCCAGATGTGATCTGATAGACTAAGATCAGAAGGAAGGAGAGGAGGACCTCCCCTATCAGTGGACTTGGGAAGGGGCATGCATGAAGAAGGAGGAGGGAGGGACTTATGGGGGGATACAAAGTGAATAAGGTGTAAAAAAAAATAATAAAAATAAGAAGAAGAAAAAAAAAAGAAATCAGGCTGAGCACATGGTAAGAAGCAAGCCAGTAAGCAATGTTCCTGCCAGGCATCCACTTCAGTTCCACTCCAGGTTCCTGCCTTGAGTTTCTGCCCTGGCTCACTTCGGTGATGAACTAAATAAACCCTTTCTTTCCCAAGTTGCTTTTGGTCACAGCGATTGCAACTCTAAGGCAAATACCGACGATGTTTGCCTACAGTGAGTGGAGGAGGAAATGCTAGTCAGTGTGGAAGAAAGAATAGAAATAAATTCATAAGCCAACCCAAGCAGTGTGGATATTTCCCACTGCAGGAGCCCTAAGGTGAATGGCGGTGTAATTAAACATACATGTTTAAAAGACAATTTAAACAGCTGCCAACCAGAGCAGTGGAAAGCAGTGGTTTGTCAGTAGAGAAAAGCACCGCACTTAGTAGGACTCAGCGCAGCTCGAAGATTCCTACAGCTAGAAATGACTTATTTCTTTTCCGCCCATCAGTAGGTGACTTGGTCACCTGAGTCCCCTCTTGAAAGAAGTGTGACCCAGCATGGATAGTTGTGAACATACACTTTATTCATGGGCATTGGACCGTGGTAAACTAGAAACAAGTGAGTTATTTGCCATTTGGGTGCAGTCACAGCTTTCAGAAGTCTTCGGAAGCACCAGGTGTAAAAATCTCCTGAGACACTGTCTTCCTCCAGGGACCGCTTGGACTACCTAGCACACTGAAGTATTCTCTGGCGTGCTATTAAAGCGCTGCTGGCTCAGTGGGTAGACATGTTCTCCAGGCAGCAGCATCACCTCATGGGGTCATTGCAGCTCTAAATGTTCCTCGTTGTCAAGTGAAATAAGCGTACAACCCACAACTGACTTCAGTCAGCTGGCTGGCTGGCCTCCCCAGATACAACCTTGTAGTCACAGTCTTGGTGAATTAGTCAGAAAGAGTTAACTGGTCAAGTGAAATAGTTAAGGCTACAGAAATTATAAATAACTTATATATTAATAGAAATTCATTCTTATGACAAAAAGTTGCTATTATAAATATTTCTTTGATTGATGAGTTTAAAAATATATTCTCCATATAAATAATTTTAAATATTAATAAATAGGTTTAGATTTAAGATTCAAATAGTGCTGGCAGGATTTTTCTTATTTAGACGATTGCCACCTCCGAAGCAGCACCGACTCCTTTTCCGCTTCCTTAGGGTAACTCTGGGTGACAGATGGCTCATCACTTTGACGAGTTCATTGATAGCTTTGCTCTGGATCTGTGGGTCATTTACCTAATGGGAAAAAAATTAAATTAATTCCAAACATTCTTCTTTTAACATCATGGTCAATGAAAATGGAAATATCCCTTTTAGGAAAAGTAATTCTGTATAGCACTATGGGCGTTTCATTTGTAGTACTAACTTCTGTAGCAGTTAAGACCACAAGGATCATTAAATTTCCAAGTTGCACAACAAGGAATGGGGTGAATTATATCATATAGCTGTCTTTAACATACCTGCTCTAGAAAGCTCAAAATAGAGAACTAAAAAGGCTCCTGAGGGGAATGGGGGAAAGGAGTAGGACCTCTGAAGTAGAACCAGACACTTAATCTCCCAGAACCTGCTTTCTTGTCATGAGTTTGGTGAGATGATTTTTTTTTTAATGTACAAGGTTCACCAATTCCTGATTTGATCAGTCCTTTCCATTCATTCTCCAAAAATTCCTACAGGTCAAGGCTCCCCATAGTATAGCAGAAGGCTCTAGCGATCTAACAAGGACCTCAGAGACCCAGGTGCATGAAAGAGAAGGCCCATGTCTTTGTGAGCTAAGTTCCCCACAAGAGAATCTGATACAAGCCAAAGACTGAGAGCTGGCAAGACCGGCTAAGTACTATGGAAAAAAACCCAAGTCCAAAATAAATGACAAATATCATTTAGATTTCTCCCAAATAGATCAGTATCAGCATTTCTAGGACTGAACTAAAAATAAACTCAAATCATGTTCAGACTAGTAATAATCAATTTGCTGACATAGAGCGCATTTACAATTTGGAGGTGCAACAGTGTTTTCTGCTTTTTGCACATTAATTTAACTACTTAGATTTCTCCACCCTAGCCAAAAGAGCCACGTGGGCAATTTTGTGCTTCATAACATGAAGACCATTTACTGTTATATATATAACAAACTGGTTTGTTTGTTTTTCTAATACTGGAAATACTCTAACTTCCTTGCTACATTTCCAAGAAGGATTCAGAGGTTTATAAGACAAGGCTAGTTAGGTGTGTGTGTGTGTGTGTGTGTGTGTGTGTGTGTGTGTGTGTGTGTG